AAAAGAGTTTAATAAAAAAAATTGACACTCCTGGACCCGTTTAAATCCGCATGTGTACGGTAAGTTGGCCCGTTCCACAGAGGAAAGAGGAAAAAATTGGCACTCCCTATTCTACCATTCCTACAAATGCTCCTGGAGCAGGAAATTTGAAATGGGTGAAGGGTTTTTTCCTCCCTGCTATTATATGTTTTTAATTTAAAAAGATACAACAAATGTACTTAGTGTGATTGGTTATGATCGTTACTTTTCATTAAAATGGTCATGGTTCGAATCCCACTGTGTGTCTTTTTAATGAATAAAAAAAAGTAATTGTGAAGACTAAAATGTCGGTGCCGCTATAAAAAGTGCGGCACCGATAACGCCGTTTCTAATTGGTACACGTGGACTGTGATGTGGCATGGTTGGATTAATTAAATCTTACCCAACCCATCCGGCCCATAAGAAGTGGCCCAAACCGTGTCCGTCAAAGTTAACGCATAACCACCGGTTACGCTATTTTATCTTTTATTTTATTAAATTAAAATTAAGCTAAATCGTATTACGGTATTAGTTTTGCATTTAATCAGAATAAGAACAGAAAACAGAGGAAGTCGGAGAGAACAAAAAACAGAGATCAATCAAACGAACCAAAAAAAAAAAACTCAATCGATCTTCCTCTCCCGGCGGTTTCTCGAGAATCACTCCGAGCGACTTGTCCTTCGTCGATCTACATTTGTTTCCTCCTACTGTCCTGCACTTATTCTGATGCAGGGCCGGTCTATAATATTCGGAGGCCCTGTTCGAAATTAAAAATGTGGCCTCATATTTTATTTACGCAAATTTCTAAAAAATAAAATTTGTTAAATAATAATAATAATAATAAATACATAAGTTCAAATAATGATTTTAAATTTTCAATCGAACGCCATGAAAAAATGAAAAAAAATAAAAAATTGATTAAGGAAGTCTCCAAGTCCAATTCCTATCTCTATAAAAGAAGTCCAATTCCTATCACGTTGAGAGAAAAAAAAAAAAAAGCAAAAGCCAAAAGGTTATTTGGCCCATTCCAAATCACGGCCTCATTTCAATTGAAGGCCCCATTCCAATTCACCCTGTAGCCTGCAGGTCTTCTGTCTTCACAGCTCCACTCGACAGTCTCCAAATAACGGCCTCATTTTACATGTGTATATATATTATGTGTCTAGGCTTGAGGCCCCATAATTTTGGAGGCCCTGTGCTGTGGGTCTGACCAGCACAGGGCCTGGGCCGGGCCTGTTCTGATGTGACCGGGGTGAAGGTATCTGCCGTCGTCGCGAGCCTCTGTCTCCATCTAACAGTGTCGTCGGTAAGGTAGCAGACAACTCACGAGTCAGAGAAGACGAGAGTTTCGTTTCCCTGTGGTTCGTCAGCCTCTTTTTGCTCCTCTTTATTGCAATCTTGGAAATCAAGTTCTAGGCGGTGCCAAGTTGTCGCCGTCGGTGACCTCCCGCAGGCTCTCTCACTTTCCGTCAAATAGATAACTAAAGTACCACACTCACTCGCTGGCTACGGTCAGTTTTCAATTTAAAGGTTTAAACGTTTGTATTGTTGCATTTAAAGAGCAGTAGGTGATTCTATGCTCCAGCGCTGTTCTGTTCTTGGTCTATCCTTCCCTCATTCATCTTGGTTTCTTTTTATTGCTTTCCATTACATGAAAATGGAAACTGAAGTTTTTTTTGTGTTTGGTTTATTTGTTTTAAAAAGGGAATTCGTAGGATGCTTTTGGTGCATATGGATTCTATCGCCTCAATAAGTTCAACAAATGAGCGAGGAAGGGATGAATCTTCTCAACAACACGAATATACATCAGGGAACCAACATTGATTCCTCTTCCATCATAAAAGGTAAATGCCAGCGGGTCGATAAAAGGAGAGAAAGATACAATGAATTCGTGGTTTAAGGGAGCAAAGGCGGCTGATCAAACTTCTGAGACCTGTTAGGAAGTGGATTCAGTACACCCATTACTCATCATATCAGCAGCTGAAGCTGCAGAAGCTGTAGGAAATCTAAGAGTACACATTGGGGAGCTTCCGATTCTTTGTCTGCCATCACCTTGTTAAGGGTGCGTCTTTCCTCTTGTAAGGTGTAAGCTAATGGGATGCAGTTGATTCTATATAAGATTATCCAGGAAATGAAAAATGAGAAGATTTTTTGTCAAGTCCCAGGCCCTGCCATGGTTGCAGAGTGCAAACCATCTAAAAAATTGAGCCCTTGATCGTCCGTGGCAATGCACTTCCATTTCTGCATAACTCATGATATTGGATTGGAGAGGTCAAAGGCTGTTCTTTTGTGTGAGATATAATATGGATAAAAATGAATTTGTATTGAAATCTTTGATGGAATAGTAAAAGACCAATGAATCTGGAAGCATGGTTCTAAGTATAGGTAGATTCTATTGGTAACAAGCATAATCTAGTCACAGCTGGGCAAAAATTCATGAATACACTATAAATTTCCCCATACTCCCAAGAATCATGAAAATGAGTTATATAATCAGGTCAACGTTTTATTGACAAAATTAGAACTATTAAGTCCCAAGTTGCAAAAAAGTCGGAGTTACTGTTCATTACGAAATTTTCGCCGTACTGTTCACGGGCTCACATTAGGAACGGCAGCACCTGATTACGTCCTCCAAACAAATAGAAACGGCAGCGCCTACCTTCTAAAAGGAAAAAAAAGGAAAAAAGAAAATAGAAAAGGAGCAGCGCAAAGCACTCTGCATTTCCCCTCTTCCGTATACCCAAACCCACCCCGACCCCCAATCTCATTCAATGGAGCCGGAGAACATCGCTCCGGCAGGCGGCGTCGACCCCGACTCTTCATCTCATTCAATACCGCCGGAGAACATCGCTCCGGCAGGTGGCGGCGGAGGAGCCTCTTCAGAACCCACAGTCGTTACCCGCATTCAACGGCGCCGGGAAACCTCGCTCCGGCAGCGGCGGCGGTGGCGGCGGAGCCTCTTCAGAACCCACAGGCCACAACGCCTCTTCAGATCCCACAGGCGACAACGTTTCGTCACCCGGATTTGTCCCGCCATAACAAATCGAAAGTCGTACGAAGTGAGACGACTGATGACAACGGCAAATCACTGGATTTTGGCGAGTCAATAACTCGGTAAATGCTTCTCACTATCTACCACTCTACTCCTTTGCTAAACTGATATCCTTCAAGAGACGAAATCGGGTATCTTCGTATCTGGCAAGTAGGGGATTGACAAACAGATTTGGGTTTATGCATTTTTTGGATTTATGCAGTTGTTGCAGTAGTCATGATGAAAATAGCGCCAGAAACTATAATCACGAGTTTGGATAGCCTGAGCGATGATGTTAATCGAATGAACATCGGCGAGTTCATTAAAAGATCTGATTATAAGCTAGGTTATGGCTTTGGGTAGGAAGTTCAAGCTGATTAAGGTGGAGGGACTCAATTTATGGCTTTGGGCAGGAAGTTCAAGCTGATTAAGGTGGAGGGACCCAATTGAATGATATTGTATACTTGCAGGTATGATGATTGAAATGGAATGTTTACGAATAAAATGTGTTTAAGTTCAGGCTTAATTGTAGTTGGCTTATAGGATGATGCGAAACAAATAGGGTGCTAAGGACTACTGAAGTAGCATGAAGAGCAGTTCATTGATTTTTGTACATTGAGTTTTCATTTTATCATGTAATGAAATTAAGTTCAAAAGAGAACAAGGTAGAATATGATGAATTATGTTTTGTTCAGGAGTTTCAGTACAGCCATTGAAGGAAGATGTCACACCTTAGAGTGATACAGATGTGATGAAGTAAAACAAGAACCCAAGACTGTCATACTTCAGTAAGTTTTTCTTCTTCAATTTTTAGTTATGAACATTGATAGAAGATGGGTTTATTTCAGCTTAGAGTAAAACCACGTCTAAGCTTCGTATAAGATCAAAGTTCATACTTCAGTAAGTTTTTCTTCTTCAATTTTTAGTTATGAACATTGATAGAGGATGGGTTTATTTCAGCTTAAGAGTAAAACCACGTCTAAGCTTCGTATAAGATCAAAGTTCCATGGGGACTTAATAGTTTGTCTCCATCTTCTTCCATGGTTTTACTCTAAGCTGAAATAAACCCATCTTCTATCAGAGTTAACGTGAGAAATAATGAAGCAATGCCTGGTGTTGATCTAGGACGGTCAATTTATAGGAGTTTATTTATTATTAGAATTGGAGACAAACTATTTTTCTGCCTTAATAGGGACAAAATTAGAACTATTAAGTCCCAAGTTGCAAACGACTGCTGAGTTATTACTCAACCACATTACAACACTTCGGCCTACCTGCTCCAGATCTTAATGACTGCGACACCTCCCTCAACAGCCTCATAACTGAACAACTCGATTATGACATCAGAGAACAGAGTAGGCGTGCATCAAGAAACTTTCAGTCACTCAATCAAGATCAAAGGAACGCTTATGATGTGGTTATTAACTCAGTATGTTTTGAACAAGGCTCCCTCTTCTTCTTACATGGTCACGGCGGGACAGGAAAGACCTTCTTATATGATACAATAATTTCCAAGCTAAGGAGTATGAGAAAGATTGTTCTGGTAGTGGCTTCATCAGGCATAGCCGCTACATTATTGCCTGATGCAATAACAGCACATTCAAGGTTCAAAATCCCCCTTGAGATAGATCACACATCCACCTGCACCATAAAGAAGGGATCTCATCTAGCCCAGCTAATCCAAGAAGCGGCTCTAATGGTTTGGGATGAAGCTCCAATGACACATCGATTCGCTTTCGAAGCTCTTGATCGAACATTTTGTGACATCATGAACATTCCCATAAGCGGAGAGGGATATAAGCCTTTCGGAGGAAAGTGCATTCTTCTTGGCGGTGATTTCAGACAAACATTGCCTGTTGTGGTCGATGGAGGGCGGGAAGCAAGTATCGATTCTTCTCTAACAAGATCACACCTTTGGCAGCATTTTAAGGTCTTGCCTTTGAAAGTTAACATGCGAATCAATACAAACCCAAACAACCTTCTACGTGTCTATGATGGGAAAATTTTTGAAGATTGGGTTTTGGCTGTTGGAGATGGAGCAATCAAGTGCACAACATTCAACTCATCGACTGCCACAGACTGGATACAATTACCAGATAAGTTCCTCATCCCACATACAGGAAATAGAATTAAGGCAATTACTGATGTTGTATATGAGGATTTTGATAATAATTTCCAGGATATCAACTACATCAATACTCGAGCCATAGTCACGCCAACAAATCGAGTAGTTTCGGAAATCAATGACTATATGTTGGCTAAAGTCAAGGGAGAAGCAAAGACATACTACAGTTCAGATTCGATAGAGGATGATACAATAAACAGCAGCAGGTGGGAAGAGGAGTACCCAACCGAATTCCTAAATAGCTTATCGTTCAATGGTGTACCTGAACATGAACTGCAATTGAAAGTCTCCACTCCAGTCATCCTTCTTCGAAATCTGAATCCATCAATTGGCCTGTGTAATGGAACAAGGATCATGATTACACATTTGGGAGAACATGTCATCGGAGGTAATATCATTGGAGGATCGTACGACAGGACGCCGGTTGCTATTCCTAGGATTGTGCTCAATATCACTGAGCATCGTTGGCCTTTTACCTTGAAGAGGAGACAGTTCCCAGTCAGAGTGTGCTATGCAATGACAATAAACAAGAGTCAGGGACAAAGTCTTGATATAGTGGGGGTTTACCTGCCTAAGCCGGTGTTCAGTCATGGACAATTGTACGTGGCAGTTTCCCGAGTACGATCAGCTGACGGCTTGCATATACTGATTGACAACGATGGCGAAGTTCCACAATCATATACTAGAAATATAGTATATCACGAGACATTTCCTGATGTGCACACAGCATCGACATCACCCACAGGTAAATAAGTTTAAATAGCCTATAATTATTTCTCACCCTCCCTTACATTCATTCACCAAGCAATCTGCTTATAAATGATACAGATGACATGGACACCGACAGTGAGCAGTTCAGGCAGCATGATATATAAGAAGGGACTCCTTTCATACTCTTTCACAGGTAACCACATTTTGCCGAACATTACTGATAGTGAAATACTTTATACCCCAAAACCACAAGACGTATAATTAGAAATGGGTTAGCAACTCAAGTTTTTTTTTATAATTTATCACTACAATGATTTTTTATTATTAACGTGATATTAATTTAGCGTTGGGTTCTAATCAAGTTGCACTTCCTTTTCGTTTTCCAGATCACTATATCGGATGCACCACAACAGCTATCGGTGAGCTCTCCACTAAAGGAACTTCAATACGCTACAAATGATAATGTCAACCAAGTTATCGGCATGCCAAGACCATTGTCATTTTTTTTTTTGAAATTTCATTATATCTCATTGTAATATTTTACCAATAAACACACACATGATCAAATTATATTATTCGACATTAACAACAGAGAAAACAAATTACAGATCAAATCCCGTTGCGTAGCACGGGCTAATTCTCTAGTTACATATAAAAATTTCCTCTTTCCATCCCATAGATCCACCTTTGCAGCTTCATATCATGACTCTTCATTCATTATGTACAGCAGTTTCTCTTTCCATATTGTCAATTGGTCTCAGCCACTATTCACACATGGTCAATCAGCTTGCAATGGTGTGCGGCGGGGGATAGGGGCTTCTCAAAATTATTCCCAAAATTGAAGACAGATATGGAGCTCCTTTCATTCATAAACAATTCATTTTTCTTCAAGGTTTCCTGCAACTGAATTGAGCATAGAGATTCAGTGACAAGATAGTTTACATTGATGATATAAGAAAGGAAGAGATGCATCAACGAGAGACCCGATCTGAAATACAGGTTATTTATCTCCTTCACTTCATCTGAGAAAGACAATGGAGCAGCAGCTGGATCTGTCTGCTGCACATATTCCTCATGAAACAATTAGATGGAAAAGATGAGTCGCAAGTAGAAGGAAAGTTAAAAACAATCCGAGAGCCAACTATCACTCCCATTAAGCTGTCAAAAATCCATAATCCACAATTCTCTTCAAAGCTCTAGACATCTCCATATGAGTCCCATGTGCAGAATATTGGAGAAAAACTCAACTACCCAACTACCTACATTATTGGAACTAAAATAATAGAAATAAACTCAAGCCACAAACTAAACCTACCACCAATGTATTTGCTACGTGTATAGGTGGTGGAAAGCCTTGGCATGGCAATATAAATAGAAAGCCTCATTGAGGCATGTAAGGTAGAGTGAGCTAGAGAGCATAGGCTCCTCTCAAGGGTTAAGGCAACAAACTTGCCTAATCCGTTATGGGAAAATGTGGGCAGTGTTTGTGAGGGTAGAAGTAGAACAATCAAGAGCGGCAGCTCTAATGTAAAAGGCAACAATTGCCTAGTTGTGTGAGATATTAGAGTGAAATAATTTCCTCTGTTATTTTCGATCCTAAACCCACTACATATTTCCGCTGTGCCCCAACATAAGCTGTTAGAATCAATTTACATATATGCCTAAACAAAACTAAACCTTAATCAAACTAGAATAGTAAACTCCACAAAACAATTCAATGGCCTTGCATTTCGCATCTCTTCCTCTTCGTTTGCATTGTCTCTCCATCAAAAAGATCAAGCTGTCTAATAAAGACTTTTTTAATATCCGAGAGAGTCAAAATGATCCTAGCGAATCTTAAAATCATCCACGCACAATCTAAATACTTTTACTAAGGCATGAAGTTCTAAACACAGGAATTCTTATGCCATAGCTTTTCAAGAAAAACAAAATTGTAATAGTGCTAATGAAGCCTTAATACCCGAGAAACTCATAATCAAAGAAGCATAACTTAGAATCGTAAAACCAACCACTCAATAGGCTGGAAAGTAGGAAAATTAAATATAACACTTCTAAAAACTCTATCCAATGGGCTAATGACTAGGTTTCTTCCCTTCCAGTCGAAGTTATTGAATGGAAATCATAGACTGAAGACTTGTGAGCACTAACCCCATTCTTAAACAATGATTTCACAATCATTTGACTGCAGATTCATTTCATTGGATAATTACTGCTAGCAACCTGGGCAAATAAATGAAAGAGAAGCAAACCACAAAACATTATCTTTCTAAACTCAGCATAACAAGGTCGAAATTCACTTTACCTGCAAGAGCAAGAGCTTCAAGGCCTTCATCATATCAAGCCTCCCACTGGACTGAAGTCAGATGGATGCAATAGAAGATGCAGTTCTAGACTGCTTGAACTGGAACATGAAACCTGGGGCATCACTGTAGCTAATTATTCAGTCGATCATGTGTTGTGAATAGTGACAAATTTTATAAATTAATTTAGCTACCGAATAGATGGTTAGTACGAAACCAAAATACATACATAGATAAGCGAGGATAACTTACCATTTACGGGTTGTGATACTCCGGTGGAGAAGAGGTTGAGGTTTGGAGTCGGAAATGGAGGCAGAGAGGATCGCCGAATGTGCACCCATCTGCAGCAATGGAGTTCCCCGGCGGGACCCAGATTTGAGATTCGGGACACAAAGAATTGGGCATTGCGCCCGTCTTAATGCTTTGCGATTCGCAACGGTGGTCATGTGGCGTGCGACTAAGCGACATGGAAACGGGACAACACGGCGGCGCAGGAACGGGTGGTGGCGAGATCGATGATGCGGATTGCGGAGGCCATTGAAGGAGACGATCTTCCGCTTGGAGGCTAGAGGAGCTGCTTGCTGGGGCCGGAGGAGCTAGGGCGAGAAGAGGCCGATGAAGAGCAGAATTTACAGATTGTGAACTGAAATTGTGAAATGGGGGGAGGAAGAGGCGGAGCTCGGATCAACTGTGTTTGTCAATGCCTAACAGCACGACGTCGAGTTAAGGTCTGGCTCTCCGTTAGTTTGGAAGAGGCCGGTTGGGCCATTTCTAAACGCCACCGAATTTTGATCATTGTTCATTAAACCTATCCAGCCCGCCACATCAGTACCACGTGGACGAATCAGAGATTGCGTCACCGATGTCGTACTTTTTATCGCGGCACCATAGTATTGGCCTTTGTTTATAGGTATGGTAGATGTTACGGAAGCCCAGCTGAGACTCGACGCTCGTTGCGACAGATCAAGCCCAATCTCCAGTTTCTTTGAGTTATGGTTTCCTTGTCCGACTTGTCGTTGTTTTTGCTTAATTAGTATTCCTTGTTACTTTCGGATTTGGTTATGTTTTGTTATAAATAAATGTTCGGCTATGAGTAATAAGAGGATTATTATGATGTAAAATCCAAAATATCTTATTTTTATGTCTTTCTCTTCGTTCTTACTCTCTACGAAACCCTACGACAACGTTATGTTGGGAAATCTATGTAACAATTGGTATCAGAGTCTGATTAAGGGCTCAGCATACCTCGACGGTCAAGAGAAACCACGAAAAGTTGCTCAAGCAAGAGGAGCGGCAACGACCGAAGCCAAACGAAATCACCACCGGGGCAGAGGAATCCGGGAAGCTTCAACAAGACATTCGAAGCAGAGATATCGTTGCATGCCTTAGCGGGAGTGACCGTGATGCCCATGATGCGGTTCGCTGCTAGGTTGCTTGCTGTCGACATTATGGTCTTGGTTTTCAACGGATCCTCACACAATTTCATCGACAAGGACCTGGCGTTGACACTAGGGTTGAAAGAGCAAGAGATCAAGCCATTCATGTTGAGGATATTAATTATTTAGTCAAAATGTAATTAATTCCTTGTCCTACAAGTCCCTTGTTTTCTTATCCAGGTAAAAGAGGGAACTTGGTTGTCATTAGGGTTTTAACCCTAAGTCGTTCTCTATAAAAGCTTAGCTATGGTTGTGTCATAAGCAAGCTGTCACAATGTAGTCCTCACATAATAAAACGTCAACCGTGAGCTCTTTAGAGCTCACCGTGGATTAGTCTCGATCAATCGATCGAGGATACCACGTAAAATCCGTGTCTTTTGTGTTCTATTTCAATTCCGCATCATCAAATTCTTCAATTCACGGCTAGGGTTGCGAACGGCGCGCCCCAGGGTTGTTCTCGCATGTTCCAGTCTGTTCCGATAACATTGCAAGGACATACATTGGCAGTGACCTTGCTCGGATTGCCCTTGAAGGGTCTCGACGTGGTTTTGGGAGTCCAGTGGCTAAGGACGCTTGGACTAGTGACGTGCGATTGGCAAAGGATGACGCTGAAGTACCATGACATGGGAGGCGAACGTGTCTTCCAAGGCTTGCACCGGCAGGCCACGATCGGCGAAAGGCAAGAGGAAGAACCACCCACGGAGATCAAGGAATTCTAGCAGGTTATGCAGACTTGTTTAAGAAACCCGCAACCCTACCGCCGTCACGGAAAGTAGATCACAAGATTCAACTCAAGGAATGACATGAGGTCATCAATGTCCGCCCCTATCGCTACGCGCACTACCAGAAGGTCAAGATCGAGAAACAGGTGGAGGAGATATCAAGAGCTGGCCTTATACGAACGAGTATGAGCCCCTTCTCATCTCCGGTGCTTTTAGTAAAGAATAAAGACGGAGCATGGAAGTTTTTGCTATGGACTACCAGGCCCTCAACGATGCTACGGTTGAGGATCGCTTTCTGATACCTACGGTGGACGACATGCTTGACGAATTACATGGGGCCCGATACTTCACGAAATTGGATCTACGAGCGGGGTACCATCAAATTCAAATGGTAGAGGAGGATGTTCACAAAACTGCATTCTGAACGCATAATGGCCATTACGAGTACCTGGTAATGTCGTTTGGAATTTGTAATGTCCCGACGACCTTTCAGGCGGCCATGAACGATATTTTTTAGGCCATTTATAGCAAGGACTTGTCATCACACGTGGCTCATTTACGGGAGGTGTTCGAGATCATCCGGCAAAATCAGTGTTACCTTAATTCGTCGAAGTGCTCCTTCGAAAGGAAAGAGGTAGAATATTTGGGTCATATAATTTATGACAAAGGCATGAAGGTGGATGCGAGCAAGATATGAGACATGCTCAAATAGCCAGTTCCTATAACTATCACCGCACTACGAGGATCCTTGGAGTTACAGGTTATTATCGGAAGTTTGTGCGAGGGTATAGTTCGATAGCCAAGCCCTTGACGAATCAACTGAAAAAGGGCGCGTTCAAGTGGTCGAATGAAGCTAAGGCCGCCTTCAATGCCTTGAAGGTGGCGATGACGACTACTCCCACCTTGGCAATGCCCCACTTCAGCTTAACTATATTGGTTCGGATATTTATATAACTCTTTACTAACAACTTGCAACATAACTATATTAGTTCACCTATTTATAGTAGTTTGTACAAAAGAAAATGTAAAATTCTTCGTATCCTAAACTATGAAAGAAGGTTATTCTTTGTTTTTCAATTTTTCAATTTTAAAAGAAAATCGCATATCAAATTATGTAAAAGTTTAGAATTGTGTAATCTACCAACTAAATTCATATTTTTTCAGTTTTTTTATTTTTAAAAATTATAAACAACTATCAAACATATTATAAACTACAAATTAAAAATTGGTTATTTGTAGTTGTTAATGACTTTCTATCACTGCTAAAAAATAGAATACAAAATTTTATCCATGATAATTTTTGTTGTATAAGTTACATAAGTCAACCATTAAATAAAATTATAATGTTATGTGTTGTGCATTTTCTTATAACATAATTATTAATTTTTTGTGATTAATTGCATCAAAGATATTTTATTTGGTTAAACAACTGAAATGTTTACAATTTGAGCTCCTAAGTTGCATGATTAAATTTTAGCTATGATGATTTATATACATGTTTTGTTGTGATTAATAACATATAATATACTTTATCCAATTGGTTGCACACTTGAAACGATGATAGTTTGAGCTCATAGGTCACAGGCTCAAATCTTTGTCATGATGATTGATATACATGTTGTTTTATTTTAATTTAATTAATAACTTAAAAATGATAAAAATGTCATGGAAAATTTTGAATTTTTTTTCTTTTTCCGACGTAGCAAAAAAAATTTCCACGATGGCCATAATATAAGTTAAGAAGACACGCCATCTTTCTTTTCCAAGTAATAAGATTAACTCCAACCTAGTGTGCTAAAAAACTATAAACACTTTTTAGGTTTTTATTTCACTCCAACCCACCACATTTTAGCTTCCCTAAAAGTGGGTAATAGCAAACCAAAAGCCATATATGGTTTCCCAATTGACTAGCAGCCAAAATATGTGAGGGAAGAGGTGGACCCCATCGACGGTTCAGCCTTTATTATTATTATTTTTAATTTTTGTTTCAAATCTTTGTCATGATGATTGATATACATTTTGTTTTATTTTAATTTAATTAATAACTTAAAAATGATAAAAATGTCATGGAAAATTGTGAATTTTTTTTCTTTTCCCGACGTAGCAAATTTTTTTTCCACAACGGCCATAATATAAGTTAAGAAGACACACCATCTTTCTTTTCCAAGTAATAAGATTAACTCCAACCTAGTGTGCTAAAAAACTATAAACACTTTTTAGGTTTTTATTTCACTCCAACCCACCACATAGCTTCCCTAAAAGTGGGTAATAGCAAACCAAAAGCCATATATGGTTTCCCAATTGACTAGCAGCCAAAATATGTGAGGGAAGAGGTGGACCCCATCGACGGGTTCCGCCTTTATTATTATTTTTTAAAAATTTTGTTTTAAATCTATGATTCGTTGAGGGATTGTGAAAAGCTAAATTTGGCATCTAATAGGTTTGGAGTAAAAATGTGTTTTGTGAAGCTAAAAAATGCATTGTTGAGAGTTTAGAAAGCTAAAAATAGCTTTTAGAGTTTGAGTTAGTCTAGCAGAGAGAAAAGTTAGAAATAAACCGCTACTCAATAACCCCATGGAAATATTTTAGTCAAGATATCCTACAAAAGCAAAGGAAACTGGCTCAAAAGTGGACAACAACGGGGCTTTACGTGCCACTCTATGTGGAGTTTAGTTGGTAGTTCGTGAAATCACCCTAAATACTATATAATAAGAATAATACTCGACTAACTGAAGATACTCCTAAGCATAGGACCTCCAAGCGAATCCACCACCATCACACTTGGCTAAGTTGACGGATCACTACTTTAGAATCAGCCTCTCAGATAAGACGATACACACTTCTTGAGGCCACAACGAAAATAACATCTCTACCAGCAAGCAATTCTCTGATGTAGGGATCAAACACACCCTGGTGAAGGATACCAAGAGCCAACAACACATGTCCGCCCAAGCCACGCTGCTGACACATAAAAAGTGTTATTTTATACTCTTCTTTTATGCCAGGTTTGCATAGTTTTCATATCTTTAGTAGCTTAATTGGTTGGAAATGCTTGCTAATAATTCAAATGTGAGTTTAGTAGCTCATAGGATTGCATCTCTGGTATTTTCCATGTGTTCTTAGGCCAAAGTATCCTAATGGGAGACATCAAAGCCTAGCTGCTATAAGTCAGAAATGGAGTTTGGTGAAGCCCGTAAATTGGTGTAGATTTCAAGAGGGCCGAGCCAAAACTTGGTGTCGATACCGCCATTTTTGGAGAGTGT